TTAACGTTTAATGAAACCCACCAGGGGGATTCAGTCTTAAGTTTCGATAAACCAGAGAATGTAATAGGCAATTAACTGCTATATTTTTGTGATTCATTTGATGCTATTACCAAAAATGTTAATAATGTAAGAATGCTTTTAAGAGAAAGCAAATTGCTTTTTTTGAAGTCTTTACTCAGCCTGGAGCTTTATCAGCTGTGTTTAGCCCAGTTACCAGCATTTAAGAAGAGAAAGTGGAGATTAACCCCAGCAATAACACTGACCATCATTCATTAAAACTGTAATCATGCGTAAAATGAGATTGATAGAAATTCCCCTAAAAGTGGGAGAAAAGGGAATAGAAAGGGAATTACATTTCCTGATACAGGATTTAATGGACAGAAAGTTAATTCAGCTGCTTTCAAAATATGGTAAGGCGCAAAATCCTCCTGGGCAAATTATGGACCTCTCCACCATCATCACAGTGTTTCCAACCGGAGACAGAGGTTATGCCCCCCTCTCCCAAAGTGCCAGCACACACACTACCTGCTCTAAAGACTGCATACACACACATTCACTTACACATATCTGAAATATAATATCTGGTTTATCTAGTAGCTGGGAATAGTTAAATCCTTCACGGCGAAGCACTCTGTTGGTAGGATTACCTGAGTATATGCTCGCCATTTTCTCCTTATTATCCCATTTTTTTTCCAACAGGCTGGTATAAGGCCAGTGTTTTTAATGTTCAACTCTGTTCAATCCCCAGCTTTTACACTGGATATCATATTTATTTGGCTAATCACTATAGTACCACCCTGAGCTCGATATCTTCGGTAGTCTTAGAGGGATTATGTGTATTGTGGGTGAAAGTCAGGGCACAAACATCCTTTTTTATACACACTGCTTGAAGAAAGTTTCAAAAGAGATTTCTACTTTAAGATGCCTTTGGCTGACTGATGTAATCAGGCCATTTTAGCAGCTCTGTCTATTTTGGAAATCATCCTTTACAGTTGAACTAATGAATGAAATGGGTGCCGTTGAAGGAAATGGAAATTTACTTGTCTACTTTTCACTTCAACCATCACAAGTACCTCACTGCATATGGATATTGAAAAGAAAAAACAGAAGAAATATATTTACTTTATAGGATACCCAAGCTGTGGCTGTTTCCTTCACTTTCTGTGTTTTTCCTCTGCTTTTATAACAACCTGCCCCCCTACATCGTACATGACAGAGTGGACTCTTTACCTGCTGTTTTAAAGGTTCATTTTGAACCTGCAACCCAAGCTGACACCGAGGAACCCCGCATTTGATTGATTGTTGAGACCGTTGATTTAATTTTGAAACCTTTGAATTTCCCGTTTCCATCCTGCCTTTTTTTCTCATGGAGTGGAAGAAACCTAATTTCCTTGAGCCTCATGCAGAGCTGCACTCTGCAAGGCGGAAAAACAGAGAGAATAAATAAATAAAGAAACCCAAGGAACAGGTCTTTCACAGCGGCACAGAGATTTTTATAGACTCGGTCAATTAAATTTGTCTTATTTGGAACGATGGGGCTCCGTTACTCAATAAGAGGTAATATGGTTGAAAAGGCCTCTCACTGTGTGGCCATTAGGTGAGAGAATGTTACCATGGGAGTATTAACATGCAGGGATTACAGAAGTATAAGACTGGTCTGAGCCAATTAGAATCAACAGAGAGCCAAGGTGTGGGTGGGCATTGTGGGCAACCAAGTCCTGCTGTTAGGGCCATAGAAAAAGAGAGGATAGATCAGAGGGAAGGCTTGATGCAAACCAGCAGTGCTTCAGAGAGGAGAGAGGAGACTGTTGCTTTTTAGTCTTAACGCTCAGCTATTCTCATAACATGGCCAGCTGTGTATGGCATCGTACTAAAGACATGATCATTTCATTGAAAAGAGATTTTTGACAGAAGTTGATTGATTAAAAACCCTCTCACTAAGTATGAAAAAGACTTACCACAATCCCAGAATTTTGAGCTGTCTACCAGTAAAAGTCAAATTATTTTGATACCAAATCAACAATAATTGAACCATTGGGCTCCCAGAATGGTGAAATTTGTTCATTTTGATTTTCAGCCTGCACACAGTGCCAATTCAAAAATAGAAACTGAAGACAGATCAACATTTTACATACCATGAATTACCATTCAGGGTATGTAAAAGATTTTTTCTTGAAATTTCTAAATAACCAAGATAAAATATTTCCTCTAAATTATCATCTATGACCTAAAGAGGATGTGTGTGGTGTCTGTTACTGCAAAGAGTAGGATTTCTGTAGTTTAAAACTTTAGTCATAATTTGGTTATTGAAGTCCCGCTCCGGTGTTTTTTTTTTTTTTTTTTACAACTTAAACTGTTTTCAGTGTAGTAGATGTGGCAGGTAACATAGGAGCTATTCAACTCTGAGACACTAATGTCTTTGGGGCCATGATGAAAGTTAAGATAATGATTAGCTTTCTTATGAGTATTGCAATCTGCTGACGCACACGCTTGTTCCGCGATCGTCATCTCTACTTCTCCGACTCTGGCCTGCATTGCGGGGCTCCGGGGGCGGAGAGTGCAGTTGTGACATCGGAAATCTCACTGTGTCTTAGGCTGACGTTGGGGTCACTGAGAGATTCACAGTGATTTGAATTCAGAAATACTCAGAAATGCAATTTCACACTTCTTTTTCTCATGACATGTCCTGTTGCATTAGAAAAATGTCTTATGAACATGTAGACAACAACAAAAACATGATTTTTGTTGGACAAGAGCTAGCCATAGAGACTGTGATGGTGGGCGGAGCAGAAACACTGACAAGCAAGCAGGAAGAAGTGCAACTTCAGCAGCAAATTGGCTGAACCCTGCATCTTCCATCAAGTTTGTGTGGAGATGTGGTGTTAACAAGTTCTTAAGTGCTTAGTACAATTATAAAATGTTTCATATTTTTCAGTTCGGCTGCTTTGTTTTCTTTGCCCGTGCTCCCTCTTTTTACATTATCTCTGTTGATTTATCACAGCTGCTTGCTTTCTCTCATTCATCCACTTGGGGCAGCTTTTGATTAAAAATATGATGTAGATGTTGTTAGGAACACCGCTTCTCATGCCTCTTCTGATTGTTATTTTGAACAAACTATGAGGATTATGATGCTTTATTTATCTGGTGGTATTTCCACTGTCCTCATATGTCTGACCTTTGCAAAAGAAGTTAAAAATCTTTCCCCCAGACAGTCCATACTTGTGTGTGTGTGTGTGTCTGGGTTGGTGAGTGGGTGTGTGTCTGCTTGTGTGTGAGTGTCTGAGAGAGAAACACTATCAGTGAACTCAGATGTGTCACTTGCTATGTCTGAGAAGGCTTGAAACACAGAGTGCCTCAGGACATTGTAACAAAGTCCCTTGTGCCACCAGCCCCCCTGCCCGGCACAATTACCCACTCATGTCTAATTGGCATTTGAGGCTTCTCTGCTTGATCGACCATGGCCACATCAGCATGAAGTGGCAGGGCAGCGTTTGCCAAGCTGTGACTTAACTGGTATCACGCTTTGTTACTCTTCGAGCTGCTTACATAATTTGCCGATGTAAATTTACTCTGCCTAATTAACATCGTCAGCCTCTTATTTAATGTGAACAGACATGAGATGCATCCAGTCCCTGGTGCTGCTGTCCATTGTGCTGACTTCAGAGTGGCAGTGAGGATTTCCAGGTCTGTCTGTTGGCTGTGGTGCTGGAGTTTGTGGGGCTTGGTTGAAAAAAAAAAATCCAGTACATACACAACTCAGCCTCTTTATGTGGAGTTGAGAAGACGGGCCGGGCATGACACTAACTTTCTACGAGTGCCCTGAATTAGGAAATTAAGTTCATCTCCGTTTTGCACTTAACTAAAGAATAGTTTACATAACAGAACATGCACACAGATCTGACTGACAGGTCTCGCTGTGGAGAAGGGGCCGTTGTGGTATTTTGCAGAGACCGCACTACACACAAATAATCAGACTCTCAATTAGAGTCCCCTTCTCTACTTTTGGACCCCGCGAAGTTTAATGGCCCGCAGAACTGTCTCAGGGTAGAGGCCCAGTCATCATTATCCAAGCAGATCTCCCCTGTTAATAAATGAGTATGGTCTGGAATATTGATTTAGTAACCTTCAAAATGTCACCATTCAATGCAGACCACAGAATTATATGAATTTAACAAATGTCAGTGAATATATGCCCTTGGATTTTTTTTTCCTTGCACGTTCAAATATGAACTCCACTTCTTGTAGTTGGGTTTGAACCAGATTTTAATGTCGTTTTTTGAATTATCTGCAAAGGTAAAGTTCTCATGGTTACCTGATGATTGGGTTGTAAAGTCAGTGGTTGGAGTTGCTGCAAAAGAGAGTCGCCCTGTTCTACCAAACCATCCACTCATTCACCCAGTCAGGATATTAGATCAGACTGCTGGTTTGTGATGGTGGCGGGGTCAGTGAGCATCTCATTCGCACACTCACCCCCCTCCCCCCATTCCCTCCCATCGCTGCTCACCCATTTGCTTCTGTGCCGCACTGCAGGGTAATCAGGACAGTGACACTTTATGAGAGAAGGGTAGACAAAAGGATTTACGCACAAAGCCCGGCAGAGGAGTACATATCTCATTTGCCTGCAGAGTACAAACCAGTGTGCATAAACACAAAAGTTAAAAAGGGTTTCAAGTTCGGGTTCAGTTGGTTCAGCCTAATTGTTTAAATCAGAATACTCTGGTGCTTTACTACGCACTTTCTCTGGGTTCATACTTGTTTTTAAATTTTCCAACATTTTTAGATGTCAAAAGTGTCAGTACTCAACCTAAATGGACCTTTTAGACAAACTTGTACTCAATGATAAAATGGTTCTACCTGGAAATCCCCATTCTGCACTTGACCTCACTCGACCTCAAACAGAGGGGAAATAAGTTCAACCGATGTTTGCCACAGCGGTTCGTATCTGCGCTGCATTCCTTTCTAAACATGCCGATTCTATTTCCGTGCGAGTGCGACCTGCTTATCGCTTTAGCAGAAAAGGTTCAGAATATGTACGGCGACATTGGTGGCAATCTGGAAGAGTGAGTCTGAAATTAGAGGTGAAAGTATTAAAATATTGATAGCACCTCTCTGTGTCCATTGCTGGCCCATTTATTATTCATTCTACCTTGAAGGTAGCATGCAAGATGACCCTCTTTCATTCAGGCCTGCCTGCTAACTCCTGCCTGCCTTCGTTGTGATTCCATGTAGCTTTACTGACATTTTTCCCCAGCTCAGCTGATGTGGAGATGAGATTCAAGTGTGTTATTCATTTCCTCGTGTTTATGTCCGGCTTTGAATCATCTGTCTGTGGCTGTGCCGTTTGCTTTCCTACTTTCAAATAACAAAAGGCCCACTCCCCATTTTGCTAAATCTTATTCTATGCATGAGCACAAATTAAAGAAAAAAAAGGCAATTAAATAAATTTGACTGTATTGAAGCATTTAATGGTATTCCAGCCCCGGTTAATGCTCCTCCTAAAGCAGGTATTCTGAATTTGTTGTCTAGCTTTTAATGACCTTGATGTTCATCTAAATTTAATAACTACATGAAAATTTTATTAATTAATAAAAAGAATGTTTGGTTTGTGTTTGCAAAGATTGAATTAAATTGAATATATTAAAAAAGCTTGGTGTAGCTATGTTTTTTTATCTGGCTGTAATTTGAAGCGGCTAAACCGGGCCTCTTTTGAAATTTTAATCCATAGAGGTAGATCAAGGATACATGTTGACTTATCTATACTCATAGAATTATTTTAGATTTCGAGCAACCCTCTCAAATGATTCATATTTCATGGGGGGTGGGTTAGGGGGGGCATATTTACCCGGGCTCCTTTGAAGATCTGCGAGGAGCTTCGGCTCTGACTTTGGTCAGTCATAAATAGGAATCCCCCTGAGGGCCAGGCTCATAGGTGCTGTTTATGTTGACCAATGGTACCGCAGCCTGAAAACCGGAGGAGCGCTGTCGGGATTGGAGCAGGTGGGTTCTGGGCTTCAAAGACGAAAAGATAATCTGCCGAAAAAATCTAAAGCCAGGCTCTGAGATGTGCTGAACATCTCGGAGCTTCTGCTCGCAAAGACACGCAGCTCATCATGTGGTTTGAGCCAGCCCAGGAATGCTTTGATGCTTCTGATCCCCCAACTTTTGTTAGTTTATTTGACTGAGTTTTTATGTATAATATGTATTCCAAATGCCAGCTCTTCTTTAAAGAACTTAAAGGAAATCCCAAAGAAATAACTTTGGAGTTGGAGGCTTGTGCTTAAGCATCAGTTGATTCAAAGGCTCAGTGGCAAAGTCTGCCATAACACAGAGAGAGGAGCGCATGGTCAATCGCTGGATGAACGGTGGAAAAAAGTAGTTCCTCATAAGCACAGGAGATAGTTTTTTTTCATATAAGGCTGATATCTTTTTAATTTTCTGAGCAGAATGATAATGGAGAAATATTGATCGGCTTTTAGTGCTGGCCTTTAAAATCATAATTCCATGCAGGGATAAAATTTCAACTTTTCCCAAGTTTTACTGTCAAACAACTTCAGGTACTGGATGACTTGAAGCATATTTACCTGGAAGTTTGTTAAAATGTCCAATAAAATGTAAAATTTAGATGTGATAAGAAGTTATTTTTTGGTCATATACAGGGCCTGGATCATTTGTTGTTATGAATTCTGCTTTCTGTATTTTTTACTATTAAAAAACATGTTTTTGCCATTATTTATGGGACAGAGAAAAGAATTCTGGGGAATAGAAAGTGAGGTAAGATGTAAATCAGTCAGGAGTTGAACCAGCAACCACTGCAGTAAGGAACATAGCCTCTGTATATTGGGGTCACTTAAACTGGGAGGCCTCTGCTTGCTGTTTTAGAGCAATCTCATTTTTATCCAAGAGTTAAACTTCACAAATGTGTAAATGTGTCCTAGGAAAAGGACTATTTCATCAGCTGTAACAACTCAAATTATTTGGGATTTAAACTGGAAAGTCGGGTACCTAAACCCACACAAAACTGCTTCAGTGAAGGATGGAAGCAACAGAGGATTTCCTGATAGGAGGCTGAGGATTGAGAGGTTATGCTTCTGTCTGTCCCTGCTCCTCCTATTTCAAAATAAAAATGAATATATGCTGCAGTTTTCTCCATCCAGTTTTTACTTGTATGTAAACAAGGTAAATATTAAGAGCAAGCCCCAAAATATCGATTAGCACTCACATCTTTTTTTAGTGTTTTCCAACTACTTGCATTTGATGTTGACCTGTTATTGACCTGTTGCATTAGGTAAAATTCTGTGTGTTTAAAATGCATGATGGGCTTAAAACTCAACTCCCAAAACAGAAGAAAAAATGGTGAAGGTGTAGTTTATGTCAAGATAAATTCAACTCTGCTAGCTTGATCATCAGAGAAAATGAAGGTGGATCAGGAAACAGGAAATCATTTTTTTTTTACTTCTTATAAAACCACCAAGGGCTGAAGTTTGCTGCTTCTTGTCCCGTTCAGTCATCACCGCTTGACAATGGGAGTTATTTGTTTTCTTTTTTTTGGTACAAACAACATCTTATTTTTTTATTTGGACTTGGTCTTGAATGGTCCTCGGATGGAAACAAAATAATGAGAAAGAGATGAAAAGTAATGAAGGAAATGGCCTCCAAGGCTCCATCTTAGTTTATAAAAGAGGATTTTGTGTCGGGTGATTGTGTTCTCTTTGCCTGCAGAGGGGGATGTTGCCCTGGACATGGGCCCATGTCCTGTGTTACAAGCGGCAGTACTATGCACAATACCTGCTCTGACTTTTCCTCCTTTCATATGCTTAATATTTGTGTATGAAGAAGAACTAAAGCGCTTAATAACATCATGGAAACCTCGCTGTTTTGATCCCAGTTAGTTTTTGGAGTGCTTTTTCTCTGACGCTCCACACTCAGCAGCAGAAAACATGCTTTGGATCTCTTGGTTCTCTGTCTTTGTTCACTTAACTCTATTGTTCCTCTGCATAAGACCCACACATGGACATTTTTCCTTTTTTTTTGCAGTCACATGGACAAAGTTGAACGTAAAAATTCAAATGTAAATGAATCTCCAGATTTCATTGTGGTGCAGGAACTCTGCCGCCCTTCGCCGTGTTTTTTGAGTGAAACCAAAACCATAAATCTGAGAAACAGTTGAGGTTGAAGAATCAGCGACGGAGGTGGGAGATGAGATAGCGGTGGTTCAGATGGCCCCCCTCCTGGTCGCCGGCCGTCAGAAGGAACGAAGTAGCCATTTTGTGGCGAGTGCGGTGGTGCGGTAGAGATGAGATGGTTAACACCCTCCTGCAGTATAGCCACCCTTCTCTCTCCCTCTCTCCCTCGCTCTAATTTTCTCTCCCCCCTTCTTTCCCTTGCTCGTCCGCTCAGTCGACTATGAAGACACTTCATCTTCCCTGACAGTATGACCACTACTGCATGTTCTGATGCGTTCAGCATACCTTCATTGCATCATAAATAAATCAGAGAAATGACTTTTTCTTTCTCTTTCTCTCACATGTTCTTTTATCTCCCGCTCTCCTGTCTCTGTTATCTCTTGGAGTCTGAAAACGGGAAATGGTGTGCCTGTGGATTTCCTGTGTGCTCCCCCCTTCTTCCACTCTTCTTACTGCATGTGCATGATCATCACCCTCCAATCCCCCTTTTACATTATCTCAAAGAGGAGAAATTATTTTTCTCCGTAATGATATTCATTCTATGTTATGACATTATCTGCTTAAATTTTAATTTAAATGTCATGGATGTGAGGGATTTTCTTAATTAATGTGCGCAGGGGATGCAAAATACAATCCCGTATAATAGAAACAAACTATTGTCATTTTTCTGAGGGGGGGATTTTTTGGGGCCAGCATTTTGGCGTTGGGAGGGACTACACAAACAGACTTGACATGCTTTGTTAGTTGTTCTGGAACAAAAAAACACACACCAACACATGAGCACACACATGCATTTGTGGGGCTGTAGATTACATGAGCAGGCGGGGTAGGGATGGGTGGATGAAGGAGAACGGGGGATGTGGAGAAAGATTGTCAAGAACCACTACCCCTCCTCTCCTCCACCTCCACCCCCATACTGACTCCCTATACCCAGTCCCTCCACCCCTTCCTGTAATCTCCACTCCTCCACGGGTAGTCTCAAACCTTGTGTTCGTCCACCACCAACCAATTACCTGGCAACCCTGCCCTTATCCCCAGCACAGGCGTGATGCTGCTGCATGATGGGGTTTTTGTATATTGAATTCCATCTCCTGGTGAGATAAAGGGTGTAGGAACAGGGCTCTGCCGCTGTGCTAGATAAGTGTTTCTCACAAACCGTTCCTCGCCGCTTCTTCTGACACTGATTGTGGAAAAAAGAGACATTGGGGATGGTGCTGATGTTGTGTGTGTGGGGCGGGGGGTAGTAGTGAGATGGGACCCAATTTCAATATGATTTTCCTCTTGTTTTTAATTTGTTACGAAGCGGCTCCCTGAGAGGAGTCGGATCCTGCGCCTAAATACCTTCCTGTTTCATGTTAGGAAAGTCTAGGCTTCACCGCTGAGATCAATATTCAAATAGCGTGAGAATATTTTTCTCTGGCGTCTCTCCTTCTCATTGCAGAGTTACCAAACACAAGATATTACTCTGTGGATCGATAGTTTATCTTCATTTAGGAAGGCTGTTCAATCTGCAGAGGTGACAGTTATGGGTTGAGCAGCTCTGTGGAGTATCAGCTTTTGTTCGGCTTCATCCCTTCCCTCTCAGTCCTATTTGTAAGCTGTCCTGAGAAGTGTCCCCTGGTACATATGGCCTGAGCCAGGGCCCGGCTATCTGTCTTTGTCTGGCCCACTGCAGGGAACCACACACTCATTGGTTGTCCTGGGGAACAATGTAAGTGATGGACCACCGTTCATACATCAAACCTGCAAGGCGTTTGACACTGCGGGACAGAAACATTGAAAATAATGACCACAGCAATATGTATCAGAGGTTAAAAATAGAGTACTGCGGAGAGGTGCTGGCTGAGAGTCGAGTCTGAGAGCTCTTCTCTGCAGCCCTCCCACTGTTTTAGAGGTTAATGGAAGCTGCCTTGAGCGCAGAAGAAAAGATGTTTCCAGTTAACCAGAATGAGTGATATTCAACTACTTGGACACTAATATGCTCCAATTGAATTTCTCCCTTTGTCAGTGGGGAGTCTGTCCTGCTGCGGACCCTCCCTCACAGCTGTGCCCTTGTCTCCCTCTGCTCCACCAGCGCTGAGCCCAGCCCCAAAAGGTCAAGTGTGAGGGGTCAAGTTTAACCTGAAACCAGACAGAGCGAGATGGACAGGGGGGAGGGGAGAGGGCCGGGGTCACTTGTGTGTGGTGTACCGCTGACTATCAGTGTGGATGTTAGCATTTATCTGTGTGCAGTTGTGTAGGCTTTGTGGTTGTAGTCCAATAAAGTTTGGACGTGTGGGGATCTGAAAGAGATGGTCAGAAATGTGCACAAGAAGAGATTTACAAAGTACAATGTGTTTTCAGTAGGGGTGTCTCGATACAACTTTTTGACTTTCGATATGATACTGATATTGTAGCCTTCAATATTGACCAATACCAATATTGATCTCAATGTCTTTTATGGATTTGAACAAAAAATGCTACAACACAGCCGACATCACTCTTACTCCTTGGTACTTTGTTAGTATCTTAGTACACACTGTTGTTGTGATTTTGTGGGCTCTACATGCTGCAAGATAGAGGTGCTGGAGCGGAGTCTGGAATGGACTGCTTGTATTGGAGTGCTGATATCAGAGATTTTAGATTTAGGTCGATATGATCCGATATATATATATATATATTTTGCTGATATTGGACCGATACCCTATATCAATATCGTATCGGGACACCCCTAGTTTTCAGCAGTGTTCTAATGCACTACAAATTTGCAGTTGTTATATCATGATCAATTGACACGATTATTCATTGATTCCAAAACTTGGGTATTAATTGAACCACCAAAACTTAACTTTCAATATAACTTAAAAAAAAACAGCTAGAAATAAATCGACAATAAAAAAAAATAGTTAATTGAAACAATGATGGCTGATACCGGAGATCTTAGATTTAGGCCGATATAATGCGATCAGAGCCTCAATGGGGCCCTAAGCAAAATTTGATTTTGGGGCCCTCTATTTCTGCCAATAAAATTAATTGTTGATCATTCACACAGCCACTACAGTCAAAATTTAATGCACCTGACATGTCTTTACACATTTAAGGTGGTCGCCTAGGTAGTAATATGAATAATACCAATGCAACCATACAAATAATAACAAAATAATCTCAAAATGTTTACACAGTCAGGATGCTCAGTGCACATTTCACAGCAGGAGGCACATAACGGAAGCGGAGCTTTGACATATCGGCAGTAAGAATCATAGGCCTACATCAGCAGCACTAAAATGTTAAATACTTTATTTTATTTTACAATAACCTATATGTGATCATACAGAAAGCATCACTCATACATGCAGAAAATAAAAAACATTTTAATTTTTTTTGTTGTTGTTTGATTGCACTTGGGGGCCCCCTACTGGCCGCGGGGCTCTAAGCAGGCACTTAGTTCGCTTATGCCTTGGGCCGGCTCTGAATGCAATATTTTTGCTAAAATTGGCCCTATATCCATTATCAGTGTCGTATTGGGACACCCCTAGTTTTCAGCAGTGTTCTAGTACACTATAATTGTGCAATTGTTCTACCTGTTGGACAATATCAAAATTCTTATTTTTAGGTGATGAGCTAACTGTAGTTTTCTGTTTTTTCCCTGAAAGACATACAGGAAAACAATTTTTGATCTAAAGTGGTTAACAGAATGACCTAACTTGAAAACCACAAGTACTTTCAACTAAATTTAGCCAACATAGACAGTCTTAAGCTGGATACCTGATACAAGGCCTGAGGAGAGCCATGTGAGCGCAGCTATCTGATGACTTTCACAGAGGAATTTGATGTACAGCATGCTCGTATTGTTTCAGTTTGCTAAATCGCTCCGTGTACATAAACATCTGTGTCCCTCTCACTCACTCACTCTCTCTCACACACAAACACACACACACTCGCAGCGTGAGTCAGCCCACACCTGGAACAGATAAAGGCTCTTTCATGTTTGCAGGGCTATCCCGGGGTCAGTGAGTGCTGGTGTTGAGAGCTCGTTTTTACTAGGAGTGAGTGGAGCCGGAGAAGAAATGAAAAGAAACCATATATATCCAGGTGTTGCAGAGTTAAGGAAGTTTTATTAGCCAACAATTCCTTCCTTGATTCCTTCCTCCAATACTATAGAGATACCCCCCCTCGGCATTAAACTGTGTCCATCTATTGCACAGTTGTCTTGAGTAAGAAGATGGATAACAGTCTGCTGGGTGCCTTATGAATTATCAACAGTACAGCACATAAATAAAAGTCTGCGTTTTTGTCAAGCTGCCATTTTAATCTTGTTTCAGGCGTTTATAGAAGAAAACGTACTTTTTCGTCGAAACCTTTGCCGCATATTGACTTCCATATATTAACCGCTATCCTCAAGGCTTTGAGAAACTTTGATTTGATGCTGACCATCGTAAATAATGTTTTTGAGCTATGAACTCTCTTATGCACATCAGCATAAATGTAAAAAGAAGACATTATGACCTCTTTTGGCACCGTCATGCCGGATTATCTGCTTTGTATACATGTCTGCAGTAGAGATGGGTGAAAAATGAAACCATTAGTAGTAGTTAGTCTGAGTAAGCATTGCCATCGAGAAGTCTTGTTAAAAATCAGGCAAATCCCACTTCTTATTGTATAGATGCAGTCACTGCTCCACCAAAGACAAAGAGGAATAATTGCCATTAGGGCTTGCCATCCTAATCAGATTAATTATGACAATAAAAAAAAAAAAAAATCATCAAATCGATTTTCCTCTCTATCATGTCTCGTGACTCCAGGCAACCATAGGGTCCCCCGTCTTGCAAGAGCGCTGCCAACTTCCCACACAAACCAGTGTAAACAAACATGGTGTTTGCAAAAGAAGGCGATAATTTCTTGGCTAAACAGGGCAACAGCTTGTCAGTCGTGTGGAATTGGTACAGCTTCGCGGTTTCGGATAAAGAGCAAACCACTCCCCGCTGCAAAGTCTGTCTGAAGGCGGTATTGACTCGTCCACTCGGAAACGAATTCAGGAGTAAATGCAAAAGTTTGTTGTGTCTGTGTTTCATCCACACGGAAATGGTGTTTTGGATGATGTAAATCGTACCTTTTGAAAGTAGGTCACAGAGTGCATAAATCCATAAATGACGACCATTTCATCTCCGTGTGGATGCCAATCCGCATCTCTGTAAACGATCATGTGACATGCAGTGTAACTCTTTTATGGCGCCTGTGCGTGTCCGGCCAAAACAACCTTTATACACATGCTCTGTACTCTTCTTCTGTCTTTTGTTCATTTCCTGTGCAGCGTTACAGCGCCACTTACTGGCGTGGCATATGCACGCCATTGTTTTCAGTGGTGTTGTTTTGAGAGATGATAGAAAAGCTTTTTTATTTTTAAAGTGAAGTTTGGTGAAGCTGTCACTGAATTAAAAAAAATCTAAATCTAAAATAGAGTTTTCAGAGAAATAAATTGGGATTTTATTTTTGGCCAAAACTGTGCAGCCCTAATTGCCATGAAAGCAACCTTTGTTTAAAGTTATTCTGTACATTATTTTCTGCGCATTTGAGCCTTTGTTTGGCAGCTTTGATGCAAAAAAGAAGTGTGGTTATTAAATAGGAGGTATCATAAAAGCGGTGATATTTGCAGTTTCCAGGTCTACTGGGGATTTTCTTTTTTGTGCTGGGAAAAACCTGTCTCTGTGCAGTTATGTTACTTCATGTGTGTTTGAAAGGACTGAATGAAACTCTCAATGTCCAGTTTTCTCACAGTGGTCTGTGGGATAGTTGCCAGAGTGGTCCATGACACCCGTAGCCCTGTAAAGTTTTCAGGGCAGGTGTAATTCCCTGTAAAACGCCCTATAATTTACTGCCCTTTGGGAGCACACTGTCTCAGGGTGTGAAAATCAATAGGATGGCGGAGAGGGATCGGGCACAGAGTCTATGCTCAGCCACACTATAGCTGCAGTTAGGGTAATTCTGTAATGGCAGGGGATGAGGTTCAACCTATCTAACGCTCTATCTGAAGCAGATAAATGTTTTACAACACCATCGTTTAACCCTTCCTACCTGCTCCACCCTTCCCCCAACATCTCTCAGGGCTCAACTCAGGGACCGCCCCTAGAGATGAGGTCCATACTGTGGTGTTGGTGGTAGCGAATGCGTTTGTAACCCTGTGTGTGTGTGTGTGTGTGTGTGTGTGTGTGTGTGTGTGTGTGTGTGTGTGTGTGTGTGTGTGTGTGTGTGTGTGTGTGTGTGTGTGTGTGTGTGTGTGTGTGTGTGTGTGTGTGTGAGTGAGTGCGGGGTTCGCTCCATCGTCTCCCTGGGTGTGCACTCCGACTCTTAATGCTCTATAACCTTGTAAAGATAGCCTGAGGCATTTTAGCATATAGCTGATCTTCAAAACCCCCCAGTTGTTTCAGAGGGAAGCCATGCGGAAAACATGCATTGAATCTTACAAGATGCTGCATGTATAATGTAGCATACAGCACATCATACGAAGCACTGAATATTATTACCTTAATTTAGAGCAACAATAGGAATCTTAGTGATAAGATCCTGATAGTCAAAACCAATGTGATTGAGAAGGACAATCATTGAGGACTTGGGCTTCCAAGGGAGATGACAGAGGATTACTTCCAGAGTTAATCAGAGTATCACGTTATTGCCTTGATTTTGTTTCTAATAAAAGACGGGGTAAAGCTTTTGTGTGATGTAAGTGTGATGCAGAGGAAATGGAGGGAGATCCCACGCAGACCCCAAAGCCCCGTCTGCATGACGTGTCTCGGCTTCAGCAGAGACACGCAATCCACAGTTTCAGAAGAGAGTGCAGAGATCTCATTGTGCCTGCCCGGATTGGCACCAACAGCAATCACTTGTTTCTGATTTATTAGATAGGCAAGGAAATTAATTTTGTTCCAAAATGCATGGTCGGAAATTAGATGGTGAAATTGTGTGAAAGAATCAGTGATTGTTTTCCCCCCTCTGCTATCCCTCCGGAGGTACTGATAACTGCTGATCTCTGTGACACCATTAATGAAAAACTTATTCAGATTCCAGAAGAAAAAATACCTTCAGCAATGTAGTAATTAACTTGCCTTTCACTCCAGTCTATAACAGGATTTGAACCACCCATTAAGATTCCTCCGAAAAACTGACCACTAGCACCCAGGTCATGGCTGGCTAGTGATCCTGGGAAGTTCTGCCCTCCAATGTACATCCTATTCACTTGTGAGACTGATAAGCTGGTTTAGCTTTAGCTCTGTTAGATTTAAGTTAATCAAAATACTCCAAGAAAAAAAGCAATAATAGACTGTGGTAGGACTGGACGATTATGGCAAAAATAATAATCATGATTATTTTGACTGATATTGGAATCAGGATTAATAAACACGATTAAATTGAGTATTGATTGAACCACCAAAACTTAACTTTTAATTTAACTTAAAAGAACAGTCAGAAATGATCACAATGTTTTTTCAGCACAGGAACTGAAATACAGCCCCCAAAAAGAGGACATGTCCGAGTAAAAGAGGACATGTCCGAGTAAAAGAGGACGTATGGTCACCCTACATGAAACAGAGACAAGTCAAAGACGCGGCAGAAGCAGCAACTAGCTAGCGAACAGTGGCAGCCTTCCCAGAGATGTTCAGACACATCAAAAACTGATATTTCAAGATTTGTTGTAGAGCAAAAAAATATCAGATCTTGTTTTTTCTTAATATTTATACTTTTTAACTGGACTTTCAGCTGTTTTCTTTCAGTTCCTAAACTTCCTTAAAGTAGAATAAAAGCAGAAAATAGAACAATCTAAAACCTAAACACTAAAAATGTTAAAATAAAAGTATGAAAATCATTTTTTTGAGGCAGTCTCTAAAATCATTTCTGTTTATGGGGCTGAGATAAAACATATCTTTAAATATTAAATAAAATATAAATAGTATCCTAGCTAAAACATGGTTATATAACAACTCAGACAGGTAAGATGGTACCAGCCTATGAAAAAGTTCACTAACTAACTGAAAGTGTTAAAGATCTGAGTAACACAGGAGGCAAATGGACATTTTTATTGTACCTCTGCATTGTATTTTGATGATCGTGTCAAATTATTTCCCATTGTGGTTACACTTCATCATGACCATCTCCATGCATGATTAAGTTCATTATCTGCCACAGTATGTATCTGCAGCTAATCGCTAATGTAGTCTCAGTGTGACACAGCTGACTGTGAAGAATACCTGTCCCACATTTTTACTCAGCCACCTTTTTTTTTGACCGTGAAAAAATGTCTCTGCCATGGCTGTGCAAAATGAGCTGACGTTGAGTGTGAAAGAGGTTGGTATTTCACAATGATAGTACATTTTCTTAAACTTAATGGTAGTAAAAGCAGAAAAGCAGCCTGCCATCTCTCTCCCTCACCTATCAGCCACATTGTTACCTGTCTACTTTGTCACTTAGCGAGGTTCAGTTGCTCGATAAATGTGCATAAAAAAGCTAGACAAGCTTGTTTATTTTGATCATTTATCCACAGAAACAGTGACAGACAACCATAAACATAAAGCGTAAGCAACCACGCAACTTTATTCCACCACACTACCATAAATTCATACTAATACTTCTTTAACATCTGAAAATTTACTTGTATAACCCCGGGTTCATGACTGCTTTCTCGCTGAGGCTCTTCCACCATTTTCCCAAGATTGAATGCAAATTGGACAAAACACTGATCAGAACTTATTACAAAATGGAGCCATGCTAAGAGAAAGAAATGGATGCATCAGTATGAGAGTGAGGACGAGGAAGGGGCTGATGGGGAGTCTGAATGTGGGCTGGGAGCGGTGGTGGGTGGGGCTTCTTGGGGTGTGTGTGTGTGTGTGTGGAGGGAGGGTTTCTGTGGCAGGGATGGGAAAATTAGATTTATTTTTTCACGGGGTGAAGAGAGGGAGAGGGAGAATGGGGGGTGGGATGGGGTGGGGGTCAGTAATAGCACCTCACTGAATTTTATGTATGTACAGATGGAAGAAAATGAAAATGTTTTCTGAATAGGGTTTTTCCCCTCCTGCATTTTCTTTCTTTTCTTATGTGTGTGTGTGTGTGTGTGTGTGTGTGTTTGTCTGCACCTTTCTGTCTGTCTGCATTTAACCCACCCGCATTCAATGCCGCCCCCTCCTCTTGCTCCCCTTTTTTTCACTGGCAGATCCCCAAGGTTATGGCATGTCTGGACATCTAATCAGGCCAAGTCTTGATGGTAAATATGTTGTGCCCCTCATCCCAGCAGCCCCATACTGTTTATCCTATAGCTGCCATTATATATTCAAGCCTTTGTCCGGTCTCTGCTGCACACCCCGCTGTGATAAATGAACCTGACCTTGGAAAATAGAAAGGTTGAAGAACAATGATTCCACATTTTACGAATTCATTTTCTCACATGTAGCCCGTGTTCAGCAGGTACAGAGGTAACACATAACTCACCCTCGCTTGTGTATAATAAAAGTTTGCGTGTGAGTATTTGAATTTATTGACGCACAGGTTACACACGATGAGAGTCAGTTATGTCGTCTTTGACCAAAAGGGATCATTTTAACATCATGTTGGTAATCATAAAACGAAATGACTCCCATCAGCATGCTGCCTTCTCAGTTTTGTGAATGATTTAACTTCAATACTTTAAGTTCATCTTTATGTCTTTGTGGCTTTTGGCAGATGTTAGAAGGAGAGGAGAAAGAGTCTTTGGCATAGGTGAAGCTGAATCCTTCAAAAAGTTCAGTATTGTGATATTTCAGAGGAAGAGGACAGTTGTACACTGACGGCAGTTTAAACAGGAGAGAGAAAGTCTGTTATTGATCTTCCAGTGAGGAGTTCTGTCTCTGTCGAGCCTTGTCCCTCACAGCAGACTGCAGTACCCCCGCAGAGCCAGTAGATGGTGTGCCTCCTTCAGGTTTCCTCCGTTTCCACTCGCTGAACCTTGCTTGCTCACCCGTGACTTGTGAAAGTGCTCTGGGGTAGGCCTCCCCAACCTATCATCCAGCACCCCCCTCCCTCCTTACCCCCACTCTACACCCCCCTGAGCACCCCTTCCATCTCTGCCATCTCCCCCTGTCACCCCCCCTCCCTCTTCCTCTCTCTCCATCCAGGGGGCAGAGTCACCGAGGTGGCAGTTCTAACAAGCTGCCGGGGACCGCAGCGCTCAAATGAGCCAAATCAAAGAGAAAAAGGGGGAGTGGGATAGGTAGCGCCATGAGCCCCCTGTAGAGAACAACCATTCGGATGAATATGAAATGAATTTGTATTGCTTGACATGATAAGCCCAAAGATAACCCCCATGCACGGGCGACGTCTGTACCCTGACATCCTTCAAAACATTAAAAGATACACAAGAAAACATTAACACAAAATTACGGTAGCATCAGCTGACCAGCTAGCTGTGAAATGTTTGCGGGCTGATATTTTCAAGAGGAACAGGAGAGAGTCAGTGGATTGCAATGAACAGAATCCAACTGTCTGTTTTTGTTGTAGACAAGGTGAAGTGTCGATCCAGCCTTACAATATGTCCTTATGTCTTTTTCTGAAAAGGACACAGGACATGAGGATGAGTTAGGCACTAGAACAGCACACTTTTTGAGCTTTATTGACTGGTGCACTGGTTTTAGCAAGAGAGAGCACTCCTCTATCATTTTCTGTTCTGCCCTTTCTCTTCCTTTTCTTCCTTTTTCTTTCTGCACCTCTTTGATTTGGCGTTTCATTTTGTGGCATGGTAGCATCAGGTCACTCCACCAAAAAAAAAAATCATGAAAAACAAAAATACACCATATTGTGTCCTCCCCCATCGAGTAGCTTTTGCCTGTCACTTCCTCAGCACAAACATTTGTGAGTGAGCACGTAAGCACACATGCACACACACACTCCTGTGGTTGCTGCACACTTCATTTAACACATACAGATGCAGGGCTTTATGGTTTTCCTTAAGCCAGAAAACAAGGAAGTGCACATTGATTGCAAAAAGCCTGTGTTATCATTTATGCTCACAAATGCTCCTGGCATGGAAGAGGAGCCATTGAAATTGCTCAGCCAAGAGAAGGGAATAGGAAACGTTGTGTATAATAACGTGAATGGTAATGCTTCAGTTTTATGCCCCTATTTCATCTGTATATGTGCACAGTCTCAGAGCCCTGAACCCAGATTTCACAACGATTTCACAATTTACAAAATGTAATGCATACAGAAATGACGATACGTGAAATGTTTTCTCTCTCCTTCCGCTTTTCTCCCTCTTGGTGTTTTTAAGCCATCTGCGAGTTTAAAGAATTACACAGAGAATATGGCTTCACCTGCGGTACTCAGCCTTTTATGTTACGCTAGATGTTCTTTTGGTCGAGACCCATCTGAGTGAACCCTGCATGGTTATTTTAGAGTAATGGAACCTGGGTGGATATGCAGTCAGTAAAAACCCTGATACTGCTGTGACATAAATGTCTCCCAGTGCTTCCTCTGTAATTCCCAAATGTCCTTGAGGTTTGATAGATATGAAATGAATAGAAATATATCTTTGTTAATATATGGAAATGTATATATTTGTCAGAACCAGTGGTTAAATACTTAAAACAGGTTTTTGGCCTATCTTTATATCGTTTTTTAAAATTTGTTTATATCCCCTTTATGCGTTCATGAGGCAAGAGTGATGGTATGAATGATTTCAGTCAATAATTTAACACTTATGATTAGGGCTGGGCGATATGGCCCCAAATCAATATCACGATATATATTGAGCAGTTCACCTTGATAATGATAAATGGACGATAACTACTCCACAAACTGCTCACCCCCTCCCACATTAACTTTGTCTACTTCAGCCGCTACAATTTTTAAACCGTCCTCCATCTCCTCACCTGTCTTTCTCTCTTTGTTACGGACTGGATGGGGTGGAGTCACCTCTCCGACGTTGGACATTGTCTTAAAGGGACATGAGACCATAGACTACCTACACACATCCAAAACCAACTTTTATTTATTTACTTTTTTGACACCGAATATATTGACATGGGCAAAATGATGCCAGTTATTGGCATAAATTTTGGTATTGGTAAATTTTCGGTTTATTGCCCAGCCCCACTTAAGATAAAAATAAAAATAAAAAAAAAATTAAAGAACTAAACTTTCGGTTTAGTTTAAAACTAAACAGGAAGTTTAGTTTAAACTTTTTAATTTTGGTATCGGTAAATTTTTGGTTTATTGCCCAGCCCTACTTACGATTAGAAAAAGCAAGCAGTAATGTCCTTATTCTCTTGTTCCTAAAGTACAGGAAGTTTAGTGGCCGACTTGAGAACACAGTATCTGTGTGGCACTCGCTGACATCTTGTGTCACTGACCTTTAGTAGATACTTTTCAGCCTGTGTGTTTTAGTAAGCTGCCACTGACTTCAGCGGCGACCCTTCTCCAAACAGAGGGTCAGGAGGGGAACAGTGGGTCCTGCAGCTGTGTAGTTTAGTGTGGTGCTCTGTCACTATATTACCTCAGGCCTGGTCTGTGGATGTATCACCCTGCAGATCGGATCGGAACAGGCCGATCACGTTTATTCAGTTTGCATCCGTGGTCATCCCACTTCTGCACCATCCAGAGTTTTTTTGACCGAGGTGCATCATGTGTAAGAAAGTTTCTGATGAAGGAGCAACATGTGGCGAGGTTTTCATTAACAGTAAAGACGTCACTTAGGATAGCAGAGAAGAACCACAACACATTGTTAGTGCATTGATCCTGGTTGGTAACTCATTTCCTCGCTGCTTTTGTGAGCATTGTCTCCAGACTGAATGCAGGAGGTGTTTTTGCGTTTGGTTTTCCTGAGTGGACACAATAAAAGCAATTTCTCTATAAAGCCACTCAAACATGGAGTGAACAGACAAAAAAAAAAAAAGGATTGGAGGAAAATCTGGGCCACAGCAGAATCCAGCCTGCCCCTCTTCTAACCTCCTCTCAGACAAACAGCAGCCATTTCCTCCCCTCTGTTCCTGGAGCCCTCTCACCCCCTCACCTCCTCGTCCTACACCCAAGTGCCAATCCTGTCGGCTGCTGCACAGGTGTCCTGACGTGTGCCATTTCTCTTCCATTTCATATTGTTGTAAAAACATATCAAATTTTTTTATATAGTGTCCCCCTGCCTGTATAAAAATGTTTTCACACTAGTTTAGATGCTCATCAGGAAGATTGGAGGAGACTAGATTTGGTATTTGCAAAAAAAGAGAGTAATTTGAGTCTTAATTTCACAAACAAATATTGAGCAACAAATGTTTTTGAATTAGAGTCCAAGCTGCAATATTGTTTTAATGCTGTTTATGCAATAAATCAAATGATGTCAAACTAGGACATTTTAGATTGCAACTTTTTTTTTATACTGACATGGTCTACTGTTGATTTAAACCCAATGGAGGGACCTCTCTCCTGGCTGTGTGTCTAAAGGTGGATTTTATGTACAGATGCATCTGGTAGGAATCAGTTGACCTCACTGAGGGAGCTGAAAGTGAAAGAGGCTGTTATGCTTTAGCACCGGCCCAGCTGCCAAAGTCACAGCGCGAGCAGACTGAATCCCCGGCGTGTCCGCACAGCAAAGTCAAGCGTGATGGAATCATGCTTGACTTTGCTGCGCTGTACCAAAGAGTGGGAAAAAAATGGTGCGATGTTGTCCTGCACAAGGAGGAAATCAGTCAGTGATATGTGATCCCGGACATTTTCTGTAATTTCAGTTAAACTCATCTTAAGTTTTATTTTATTTTTTATATGCTTCAAAGACGCTTAAATTGCTATGGTTTTGATTGTCATTTTAGACTAATTAATTTGTGCTATCCAACTTAGCATATGGTTTCCTTTTTATTTTTTTTTTGCCAGAAATAATTATAATAAAAAAAGTCACAAGATCAGTTGTAGCATTTAAACATCAATTAAAAGTGTTTTACATTTCATACAATATAAAAACATTTTTGTATAGTAATTGTTCGGTGGCATACTGGTGTGCCTTGAATAAAAAATGATTTTTTTTGTTTTGTTTTTTTTGTTTCGCCCCTGACATGGGTGTGGGGTATTGAGGGTGTGGGGGACACACAAGGAGGGGGTGCTGTGTATTTATTTATTTATTTTTATTCTTTCTGTGTCTCCTGACATATCTGTATTTCTCATTTTCTGTCTTGTCTTTGAAAGGAATAAAAAAAGAGAGGCGGGTTGATTTTTTTTTTTTTTTTTTTTGAATCCTCCTCTCCTCCACGCCTAACCATTTTCATCAGCTGCTCTGATAGCCATGAATCTTGTCACTCATGCTTTTCATCAACTCATGTCCACGGACCGTGTGGCAAGTCTTGAACTAAGCGCAATGGTCAGAAGGAGTGCTGCACAAACCGTGCTAGAGAGACAACAACACAAACTCACATCAGATTAAGCTGGAGGCGTGTTCGAACAGACAAAAGTAACAACACAAACACAGTCCTAGTGCCTAAAACATGGCAGTCAAATGTCTCCTCCTCCTGTGAATTACATGTGCATCTTTTAGTGGTGAATTTACTGAACAGACAAAAGCTGAAACAAACACACCCTTGCATGGGCTTGAATCTTTGTTTTGTTTTTGAGATGTGCAGAAATTTGGTAAGAGGAAAACTGTTTTTTTTTTCTTTTTTTTTTTTTTTTTTTTAAACAGGAAACAAAAAAAAAGAGAGAGAGAAAGCCAAGTGTGTTCTGTAATATTTCCTCCTGGTTTGACTCTCAGATGGCAGGAGCCGGTTACTCTCATGGTGCTTCTCTCTGTCAATTCAGCTGTACTTGTTTTCACACAAGATCCATGTTTCTATTTGTGCTTTTTTTTTTTTTTACTGCCTTCTGGATTTTTTCCACTTGAACTTCACATTGTTTTCTCTGCTAATGTTTATGATTGGCTGTGACAAAAGGGAGTATCTCCCTCCATCATCAAAAAAGAGTGATGGCTTTTCAGACAGCTGTCATTTACCATTAGTCATGGCTCATTCTCTCCAACTAATTTTATTTATTATTGTTTTTTAATGTCTATGGCATGTTTCCCTTCTTTTCTACCTTTTACATGTAATCAACAGCAGGATTTCTGCTGTTTCCCCTAAACCCACAACTGTCTCTGTGAATGAAATTATCAGTCAATCTTGAGGCGTTAATTGTGATTTAATTGTCCTAATTACTTCATTATCTCCTCCATGATTAAGATAATTAGCCTGGTGTTAAATACTGTGACTTTTTTCCTGTAAGACAGGAAGAATTCCCTTTGATTAGTTTATTAGATTAATTACACCCAGTGTACCAGGTATAATTGTGAAAGTTCCCACCTGCAATTTCCACTTTCACACCGTTAATGAAAATTCACCGTCAATGAAGTCACGCATGTGTCATTATTTGACAATTAATTAACAGGACAGCACACACACAGTGAAAGTGTGACATGTGAATAATACTTTGTGTTACGTGAGCTCTAATTCCAATCAGCTGAAAAAAGTGCAAATGAAATGAAGTGAGGAAATGTCGCCTTTATTCCCTCAGATAAAATAATAGTTTTTTTTTTTTTTTGGCCAAATATATTTTTCTAGTTCAAAAGTTTTACTCTTCTTCTCTTGGGTTGGACTTTGCATCCGTTAAAGTGTAATTACTTCCTAAGGTTGAGACAAAGTTTGAAATGTGACCTCAAATCTGACTCTCTGATGAGTCTGAAACAGATATTAGGCCCTTTTTCCCAGAAACTGCAGCTCGAATAAGGTCAGCATGAGCAGAATGAAGCTGAATCAATCAGCATGGTTAGTCTTTAGTGGAATTTCACAGATGAGAACATGATAGTCTTAAGTTGAATATAGGACGCGGCTGGAAAATCAGAGGATCTGTGTCTGCGTTTCTGCACCTCTCTCCCTTCTTCTTCTCCACCCTCTGTGAGGCTGGAGTCAGTTTTACTGTCACTACCTGTGAAATTGTATTCCACCAAGATGGATGCTTTCTCTTATATTCATGACATCCAGGGAAGCACAGTCACCTCCAAAACTGTTTAATATGGATGCGGTGGAGGCGGACTTGTATGCATGCATTCATACGCACAAACGTAGCACATGCGCGGTCGCAAACACGCACACAAAAAAACGCTCTCGAATGTGCACACATTTTTTTTTTCTTTCTGCCCCAAAGACAATGCATGGCTGGTGTTTTGCTCCTGCTGATGATGAAGAGTAGTAGTGACAGTGCTGCTCTCAGTAGGGTTGATGCATTACAACACAGCGCTGCCATGTTGCGTAAATTCTCTGTCTCTCCTCATTGAGAACATGGAGGCTTCTCATCTAGCATGGTATACTGGTGCACTTGAGCTCCCGTCCTCCTCTTTTGTTTCATCTCCAGAGTTTTTTTTGTTTTTTTTTTCAACCACAGTCACTCTGTGTAGTCTACTCATCCGTTTTGATGGTATGGTTGTGATGTGTCTTGTTTAGTGCGTGTGTGTGGATTCTTACACGTGGACCGAGCGGGTCTGTGTTTGCCATGGATCCCTTTGCAGCCACTGAAGAGTACATGTGCTCTGCAGGTGTAACCCACCTTCCCTCCCCTCATCAGGGGTGGGGGGTTGTTGCGAGTAATGTGCTCCGGTCGCCCTGAAAAAGAGGGAGCTGGGGTAAATTGGTGGGCTGTGTGTCTCTGTGTGTGTGTGTGTGTGTGTGTGCGGTTGTGTGTATTTATTTACACTGACAGAAAGGACGAGGGTGGAGGGGTGTGGTCTGCGGGTCAGGGAGACAGAGACGACTCAGAGTTGACGGGTTTGTGAGCTGCAGCTCCAGAAATCCTCAAAATTAATAAAACAACACGACACACAGATGGGACTCTGAGGCGACCGTCTTTCCCCTCCCTGTACTTGTCCACGAAAAAACAGATCCCCATGAGTCCTCTGTGTGCGTTGTTATGTTACATTTGGACTGTTTTCCCCCTTGATGGAGCGCTACATGACTTAGCCACTACTTAGCTTGTACAGCAGGGCCCCCCTAACCATACAGGGTTCCTCTCAGCTGTCTGGACCCTCATGTACCTGGTCCCTGACATTCTGATACAACAGGACAGTCAGACAGACGGAGCTGTTTGCATGTACAGGGATACAGAAATACCGGGTGCATGTACTCTTTTAGGAATATCTCCACGGAGAGGCTGCTTGAACAGTTGCTCCGTTGTCTTCTCTCTGTGCGTGTTTGCTCGAGCTCCATTGTAGAACTAAACTTAGGCTCTGTGCCCTAGCTGCAGGTTGTGTGGAGTTTCTACATCTCATTCTTTTGGTGCGGGGGGGGGAGGAGGAGAGGAATCACAGAGTCTGTAGAAATGGGGGGTTCTGTTCGGAGGTTTCAGAAGAGAGGTTTTGTGTAATCCTATGCTAAATTCAGCATCAGATCTTTCGGGGAGCTGTGTAAAACCAGTATGTTTTTCTTGTCTTTACTTTTCCTGCACACCTCAAAAACTGATGATAGCACATGGCTTTTTCCGCTATCTCACCCTCAAGGCAAAATGTACAAGGCTGCTAGGCGGCGTTACTTCTTCTTCCTCTTTCTGCAGACAGCTAACCCCCTCAAAGGATGCTGATGTCTGGAGAGGGGGAATGCCTATGAGCTGAAATGGGGGAGAAGGAGGGAGGTTCGTGGATGGGGTGGAGGGGATAGATGGAGTTTGGGGAGGTGGGGGGGCAATAAATAGAAGGGGAAAAAAGGAGGAGGGAGGGAATATGTGTTTGATTCAAAGAAAAAAAAAGTCAATTCAGTCCCCCTGTTCTTTGTAGAACATTTAGCTTTGACCCTCCCTTGCTTTCCTCTACTCCCTCCCATCACCACCACCACCTCCACCCCCCCACACCCCCCCATCCCATCCACACACAGACACACAGGGTCCAGCAGATCTGCAGGATATCACACCAGCGAGCCTTTTGCTATCTTCTGCACAGAGATGCTTGCCTCTTAGTGTGTATATATATATCTCCACTGTATGGTGTGTGTGTATATGTCCACACTGTTGCAACAGGCAGACACTGAGGGAGGAGAGAGGGAAATAGGGAGAGAGAGTGACAGGAAGGGAGAGAGGGAGGAATAGAGAGAGGTATAGTGAGAGTCAGAGTGAAATAGGAAAAAGGGAGGGGGAGAGCTTTATATGATGGTAACATGTTTATGATACAGTGTAAAAAAATATCAATTTAGATAAAAAAAAAAAAAAAAAAAGAGAGAGACTTGAGGATTGAATGTGAGTATTTCTGGTGAACTAGTCCACATAGCTGCTGCCAAAGAGCCCTGACCAGACCTCTACTTGTGCTGAAGCAGACTGGAGGAGACCCTTGGTAAGTTATGGGCTTTTTTTTTTTCCCTCCTCTCTCCTTCTCTCCCTCTCTACGCCGCTGATTACGACGCTGCTGATTGATTGGTTAGAGGCTGCGGATTATCACGGGCCGCTCGTCACCAGGTACCTGATGATGAGAGGAGAGAGAGACGAGAGGAGGAGGAGGGGGGGGGGGGGAGCGAGGAAGAGAGGGGGGGAAGGAGGGGTGGAAATTAGATGAGCATGGCCGGCGCTCACATCACCAGATCTCACTAACTCTCTTTCTGATTTCTCTGTTTACTCTGCCATCGCACATTTGTATATACCGCGTGTGGAAAAAAATTGATTTTGTGCATTTGTGTGTGTGTTTGTGTTTCATGTTGATGTGTGAGTGTGTGTGTGTGTGTGTGGTCCCAGCCGGCACACGTTGCCAGCCCGCCTGCCCGTCTTTCCTGTAGTCAACCCGGCGTGTGCTGATGAGGCTTTGGGGAGGGGTTTGCTGATGAGGGAAAAGCCAGAGGGGCCTTTTTGTGAATATGCAGATGAGGGGCATGTGTAAATGGGAGGGGGCTCGACGTGAGTGCGCGCCACACGCTTTATTGTTTATATGTTCTCCATAGGGAGCCTGATCCTCAACAGATTGCCGGGGTTTTGGTGTGATCTCGCCGCTGCTTTTGTTTGGAACATTCGCTGACAAAGATGGAGAAGGAGAAGAGGAGAGAGCCAGGGAGGGGAGGAGAAGAAGAAGAAAAAAAGATAGAAAAATACAGTAAAAGAGAAAAAATGCAAGAGCAGCTTCAGGGCATATTTTCACCCCATTGACAAGACATGATGATTGCTGTTTTGCCCCCTCCCTTCTCCCCCCCTGTACCTCCCCAGACGTTTTTCTAATCCATTTGCATGTCAAAGCAGCGGAGGCCACTGTGCAGATTAGTATGAGATGACATAATGATGTAATGAATTAAATGCTCCTGTTTAAGCGCTGCACTTTGCTATAGTGGGTGGCAGGGACAGGGGGGGGATGAGGGGCAAATAAGAGAAACAAGTAGGGAGGAGAAATGCTTCCTTTTTTTTGACGTCACAGAAACACTGATTGAAATAACCTTTTCTGCTTCATTTGATTACAGCGCTGAATCAGAGTTTGCAACGAGCTTAATTATATTTGCATATTTTAGCGGAATGTAAACTTGGGACTGTTAGCATCTTGTCAACTGTACTGTACAAATTCAATTTAACATGACAAACCATCTTTTTCATCGGATTTGATTTAATCTGACAACGTCTTTTCCATTTTTTATTTACAGAGCATTTAAATTCAGAGAGAATATTGACTTTTTTTTCTTTTCTTGCAGTTTTAAGCATTACAAAAATCTTTTTTTTTAATAGTAATAAAAGCATACTCTGAGTTGGCCTTTTCTAGCAGCTGCTCTGTGTTTTTTTTGCGTGAAAGCCACATTAAAACAAAACAAAAAGCATATTTCTTCACACTTTGACCCGCTCAAAAATAGGGTTCGAGGGTCATACAGTGAAGTGATGACTGTACAGTCAGCTCCTTTCCCTCTGAATTCTGCCTTTATTTCTACTTTTCTTTCATCACCGTCTAACAATACTCTGTCTACTGTGTTTTTTCTCTGGATTTCAAGGATACATTTTGCTTGAAATAATAAAAAAAAAGAAAACCCTATACTGTAGATATGAGATGTATTCCCTCAGCTTTGATCTAAATTGTCATGGCCTTTGACACAGAGCACTAAAGTGGCTGTGTGTGGCGGCAGTAAAAACGTACGGAGTATATCATCGATTGATGCACTGGCTAAAGCAGTGTTTTTATGAAGCCGAAAAGATCTGAGACACGACACCTGGGTCTCCACGGAGAAACACCTACTGTGTGACAGGAGCTGGAGTGTGTCACTCTTGTCATCCCCCAACTAGCAATGATAGAAACCCCACCAAACACACACACACACACACACATACACATACACACACACACACACACACACATACACAGAGACTATGGTCGCGTGTCACATTCGGGATAGTTGCCTCATCGAGGACAGTAAGGGCAGTACATGGGCTTGTTTTTTCCAGAGAAAGATCAGTTTCTCGTCTCATTTGACGTATGTTTTTCACACTCTGATCGATTTGAGGTGCTCGACACAGATTCAGATTTTCTCGTCTGATGCTTCTCTCTACTATTTGGTCAGGACTTGGTTTGTTCTTGAGATGAGGGATTGATCAGCTGATTGACACAAAAATCAATTGTTAATGAAGACATCAGGATGCATCAGTAGGATCTTTGCAGGATTTTGTAGTTTTGTTGAAACATATTTGTTGAAATAATTTTCAAGATAGATTTCAAATGTTGTTATTGAACATAGTAGCATTAAACTTCAGCAAGATCCGTTCTAAACACTAAAGCTTTCATATTTTCAGTTGGATTTAGAAAAGTAGGAGAAAATATAAATTTTGGCTCTCTGCTTTCTGATTTCCAGTCGTCCCCCCAGTGTGGCCCCAGAGCCTTGTCCACGCGGGTGTGGCCGTGTGGAGTCAGCTGGCTGGTGCAGGGGGTAATGAGTATGCGCCGTGACAGCTGGGATAAAGTGTATGGATGTGTTTGGTGGGAGTAATCAGCTGCTGACCACGGGGTGCAAGAGGCTGATGTGAGGCTTTATGACTGCAGAGCTTTAACTCTCACACACATACACACACACAGGCAGACACAGCCACTTATACACACACACACTCACATGCACATTTAGGTCTGTTGGGACTGCATGCTTCACCTCACCCCTACATGCTGAACATATCCCGCGTTTCTCCTTTTCTACCTCCAGCAAAAATAAAACCCTCAGCTTATCCCTAATGTTCAATGAACACAGATTTTATTAAATACATGATTTAATTATCAAAATTGTTTAAACATTTCATTGAAAATAAATGAATACTTTATTTAAATCTAGCTCTAAAAAAAAAAAAAATCAATCAGGCTCCACAACAAGCAAAAATATTGAGTATGTGTAATTACATAACTGAACATTTGTTCTTTGTTGTAAACCACATCACAGTTGAAGTTTTTGAAACCTGTGGCTTGAGTGCTTAACAAATACTTGATATAAAGCGGACCCTGCAGGCTGGTGAAATTGGATACACTAATAAATGCATAAAGGGAGAATAAATATTGATCACCTGAAACATTAGAATAAAGTAGCTTTCATATGATTTTTGCTCTTTCTGGGGTTTATTGTTGTTTGTAAATATTGTTAGTGGGGAGTATAAATGTGATTTTATGTCACTGTCTGAGGGTCTTTGTGTGTGTGTGTATGTGTGTCTGTCTGCAAATGTGCAGCTGTAATCCTTGCCTTGGATTTTCTGTGTTCTTTAAATAATATTTCAGAGTCAGGGAAAAAGAACAAAAAAAAAGGGGGCCTACATTACCCTCGGTTTAAGCTTTTGACTTTTTGTCCGTGTTGTGTGGAAACTGGAAAGTAAAAGTTAGTGCGCCTGCGTCTAAGTTAGTAATGGCCCTTGCCTTGAACTTGTGGTCCTGTCACTCTGGGCTGCAGTTTTCCACCAGCTCCTCCAGGTTCTCTATAGTCAATGAGGAGGATAGGCGGGAAAGAGGATTATTGGTATTGATCTACCCAGGGGGATCATTAGGCATCACTATCAATTCACAGCTCCTAGCACACAGCACCGGCCCGCACAGACATTGCCAATTTGTCCCTATTAGAGAGCCCAGTTTGTGGGTGTCTGCTGTGAGAGGCTGCTCAGGCCCCACTGGAGAGCAGCCAGCAAGGGCCAGGCCGAGGCCTGACCTCTGTGGACTCGACCGCACTCTGTGGCTGTGATCACCTGTTAGAAATCATGAGGCATGCACAATCTTAAATAACAATTCTACCATTTTTATTCCTGAGAACAGAAAAAAAAACTTTGTCTTATATTTTTCATTCAGACATCTGCAGCTTAAAATGTTATTTAGGGAAATGCAAGAAAATAAAGATTTTTTTGGAGTCCCAGCTCCCACTCTACTTCCTGTCAGCAGCTTCCCCTACATCCCCATATTATTTACAGAGGGGTAATTGGCACTGTAATAGAATACTTTAGTGAGGCTTATCCAGCCTGGCCCACTTATCTGTGTAAGCTGGCTGTTCTGGGGACTAAAGCTGCTAGATCCGTTGTCACTGACTTTAACCCTCTCTGCCAGGCTCAGGTGTGCAGGAAGCTGCACTGCCATGATTGGTGCTACATGCCAAAAGGTTTCTCTGAAGCCCTATTTTGAGATACCTGTAGCTCACAGGTTGCAAAGTCCCGCAGGAAAATCGCCTTTATTTGCGTTAGTATGTTTGTCAAATATTTTTCATGCCAAATCTGCCCATTTCGTGTTCCATTTCTTGGCAAATTAAAAAAAAATCAGTCTGAAAATTTTTCACCATTTAAATGCAAACTACCACAGCAGTTATAGTTTGATAAATTTTTATATTTTAGCTTTATTTCAATCAGGTAAACAAATAAGTCTGGTAAAATGTTTCTAAAATACAAACAGGTCAGTGGTCAGCAGGGGATTTTTTTTCTCACGCCCCCTGACCCCTCTGCTGGCCTCTTCAGCTGCAGCACAACACAATCGTCATCATACAGAAAGCAGAAACCTCCCACACTGACTGTACCTTCACTCCTGGCAAATACAGTATAGATACGGTAAATTTAAGAGTACAGTATATAAATGTAAAACCTCTCCTCACAGGGATGGTTAGTGAAGACAGTGTCATTTCACTCTGGGGTCTATTAGAGGGCGAGCCGGGTGTGAAGGACATCCCACAGATCTTTTAAGTGCTCTAATAAATCATCTCCAACACATTCAAAATTCATCAGCGCTAGCACTTTGCCCTCTTTTCTTCCTGAATCTGTGCCGCACGGTCAAACAGTCTTACCACATGAGCGCAGCGGTAGAAACCGTACTCCTGAGGGAGAAACATATTGGTCTTCAACCTGGGGTTTTTGCATGTGGAAATCAAAGGGCCTGCCAGTAATGACTTCAGTCTGGCCGATGTGTGGGGGTCCTTTTGGCCTGTTATTCCCCAGTCACAGCACAGCTTTCGCACTTCCTCATTCACAGACAAACCGTTCATAGGCAGTGTGCAGCCGTTTTTTTTTTAACCACACAAATGACATATGGAGACAGCTCTGTTTAAGGCTGTCACACTTCATCATAAAAATAAAAGAGGACGGAAACATTTTCAAGAGTAAATCAAACGAGAACAGCATGCAGCAGTTTTCAGGGTCTATATATATGTTTTGGATTGTTTAATTGCACTCAAAGAGGAGGAAAAGAATGAAATTGATGATCTAATTGTTTAGACTTAAGTTGCATTTCCTTGGAGTCACCAATAGAGGGCAGTGTGGCCTGCCTGAGAGCATGGCTAGCAGCTGCAATTCATGGTTGGAACATTGTGATCACCTGACATGAGTAGACAGGCGCACACACACTCACACACACACGTCTTGTCCCTCGCTCGGATGTTCCATACGTAGATGATATACAGACATGGCTGTCTTTCTCCTTTCTTCATGGTGGTGTGGAGAACCTCTCTGATCTTCTCTTTGGCAGGCATGCCTTTATTATACGTTCTGCTTAATTTCCTCTCAGTTCATATTTAATTGATGTTTGTCCAAACAGAAGGAATGTATTCCAGTTGAAAGCAAAGCCATTTTACTTCAGCCGATAGATAATAATAACAATACTAGTCCCCCAGTCTAGCTTTGTAATCTGTATTAGGTGTATCAATGTTAATACAGGAGGGAATGTGATATGAAATCTAAGCAAAAGCACAGGGAGGTTTGTAAGATTAAAAGGACTTCATGTTTGTGTGCCATTTTGTTCCAAACCTTTGTGTTCTTACACGAGGCAGTGGAGGCAGACTGTCTGGACGTAATCAGATAAAAACAGGAATCATTCATGATCCTTAAAAATGTACAAATGAAAAATAAACAGATCCGCACAGAGCCAGTGGGAGCGATGTGCGTGCTTCTGCTTCTGTAGATTTTACCCAGAGGACCCGTTGAATGGCGGATCTCACTGTTAGAAATCCAACATCATCTCCATCTGCATTTTGTGTCGCCTTGTATGTTTTTGTTATCTGAGAATGTTCGTGTGTGTGTGTGTGTTTTCTGGGGAGGAGAAGGAGGAGGCTTAGTCTGTGAGAAGAGGGGAAAAAAAAGAAGAAGAAGAGAAAAAGAAGGGAGAGATGGATGAGGGCAGTTTGGGGGCCCTGGGTGTTTTAATTATCCACTGCTCTGTCGTTGGGTCAGAGCTCGCTATCTCTCTCTGCCTTTATCCCTGTCTCATGATTTGAGCAGTACCTTTATCCCTAAGCCTTCAGCTCCTCTGGCCAAACAAAGAAAAAAGGGAGGGCAAAGAAGGGGTTTTACAGCAGTAACTATGCCACATTTACCATTAATATCCCTCAATCTCCTCTTTTTTTATGTAGTGCAGAGCAGAGTAACCTCAATAAAAGTGACCCTAGCGAGGCCGTGCGGGGTGCGAACATGACTGTTGGGATGGAAGATCCTCGTGCACTATGGCTGAGCTGGTTTAGTTCTGCTTTCAGTGCTGGCAGCCTCCTAAACAAGCGAGGTGAAAGAGCACATTTTTTATCTTTTTCTTCCCTTCACTCTTTCTTTT